AATTAATACAATCATCATTTGGAAGAAAACTAGCTTGATGATCTGCAAGTTTTAAGTGTGATCAATGTGCATGAAAAGAATAAAGCAGAAATCAGGAAGGGAGAAAATACTTTTTCACAGCATTGTCCTTCCGGTTGCTCTCAGAGAAGGTCTTAAGGAGGGAGGAAGCTTTATGGACCAGACCGGTATCACAGTCGCCCTTCACTGGGAGTCCTCCAGCCTTTTCATGTCATCAAGAATAGTATTTGTTGCCGGACAATTTTCTGTTGGTCTCTAATTGGCCACATAAATCTCGTCAGTTGAGGGTGAGAAATGTTTCAGTGTCACACGGCGTAATCTTCACCCTTATTTACCAATTCATTAAGATTCATTGATGCAGGCTCGCTGAGAGGAAATGACAACATAAATCAGGCCCCCAACATAATGACCCTAATCAGTTGGGAATTGCAGAAAATGTCATGATGAACTATGTCCTTGTGTTAGTGCCACTGTATATTGTCGCTTGGCTGCTTTATGAGTGGGACGCATCCTCCTGACAAGGGCTGCATTTAAAAGAAAATATCATATCGGAAAGAAAAAAAGAGAGAGAGAAAAAGTTGTTCAATAACTGACACCGTTAAAAGGCAGAAATCCATGTCGGGTCTTTTGATAGTTTGTCCTTCACCCTACGCGTGCCCTGATCGTCTTCCATTTACCCTCTTCGTCCATTCTCGGGGAAGTTGTGGCTTTTGAAATAATAACACGCTTCATCGGCTTAAAATGAGTCTGGTGGATTGTTGAAGATGATTTGTGATTTCCGATGGCAGTGGCGGCGTCGGGGAGTCATAAACCGCTCCCACACCAATGAAGTGATCACAATTAGATGCCTAATTGAAAGTTAACGCGTTTCAATTGTTGGACCACTCTGACAGATAGTCGGTCATTGTTGGGAGGTGGTTCCCGAACCAGTTTTAAGCCTTAAAGTTGATGTCCAAGTCATCATTAGCGTTCAAATACGGCATACGTTTGTCTTTATTGTTCTTATTCTTATTGTTGTAGTCAGTTACAGGCAGTTGGTCATGTGTTCCGCGGTCACGGGATGACGTGGGTAGTAGATTAGCTTGGGAGTTTGCCATGCCGGAAAGCCAGCTAGCTCGTGGCTGTCACGTGCTTGGTCTGCGGCTTGTGATGGGCTGAGACAAGATTTGGACCCGAGCAACCAATTGCGCTCAAATATGTTCATGTCATTGCATTGTCCGCCATGTACAAAAGTAGCTTTAAGCCCAATCGCACCAAGATACGGGCAATTCCGCGTCTACAACTGGTTAGCGAGCGCAGTGGCTAAACATCAGCTAATATTGAGCAGTCATGGCCTGCATGGCGGCGAATGAACCACAATTGTGACGGGCGTCTTTGACACGAGAGAATGGAGCACGAGTAGTCATGAACAGGAGATGACTGCTGAGCCACGCTAAACCGAGAAGCTATCGTTAATTGTCACTCAGGAAACACCAGAATTAATATTGATGCAACACTCAAGTCTCGCTGTCGCCGCATTCTTACAGTGGAGAGGAACCGAACCATGTCCGGAGAGATGCGCACGGGACGATTTGAAAACTGGAAAAGGATGAATACCTTAAATTTCATCGTAGAGTGGTCGGTTTCGATTTTGACTTTTGTTAGCGACGCATTTGACCTTTTAGTTATTTTTATCAATTCAACTTTGCTAACGTACCATACGACTTAACATGTCTGGTAGTGTTCCCATTCTGCAAGTAAATTTGTCACCACATTATTGTTTGTTGAGCATTTTAGACATCATGAATTGACAAAATCAAAATGCTCCTGAATGTTGCTAAGAGATGAACATAGACGTTGGCATCTCTGTGTGCCTTGCACAGCGGCTAGGCCAATACCGATTGTTCACAAGGAAGCAATGTACGCTTGACAACTTCCTAATCAAACACATTTGGCTCCTTAGTGTGATCTTTTGAGGTGTGCTGCTGCGCTGCTGATCCTCCTAAAAAAAAAAAAAAAAAAAAAGACTAGGTTACTCATCGTCAGCTCACACAGAGGACATTTGTCCCAAAAGACAACAGTTCTAATAATATTGTCCCTACTTTCGACGGGAACACAATATTAATTAGACAAGTTCGTTAAGGCTAACCTTGGTTTTCCCAAGAAAATGTATTTGACATATTTCATCTCCACAAGTTTGCATTCCCACACCCTTGGGGAAGACTCCTTACATGTTAAGATGATTAGAACTATGACACACATTAAGTACTGTTAAAACAATAAGTAGCTATCCAGATCCCGAAGGATGGTGACGGACTGGGGGCGATGTTTTTTTTTTTTTTTGTTAATGTTACTTCGCAGGTCTAATTGCTTGAATCAGCTTGAGGGAAGAGGTCTGCATCTGCCTACGCATTGGCCTTTTGGTCAGAAAGCAGATCGCCCATTTCAGCATGTCTGTCCTCCGGTTGCCATGTTTGCGGGGCACGAGCCACATGCGAGCAAGATTTTCAAAGTCAAACGAAGGAGAATTGCTGAGAAAATGTGTGGGGGAACATCTCCTCAAAGAGCCTCAAATCCCAGACTTACCATTCCATTCATGTACAACCAGATCTAAACTCATTAGACGTTCCTATTTACTTACTCTCCATGCGCCCTAGTTGTCCTAAAAATATCATGGCCTGCCTTACTTTGCGACATTCTGTCATCGTGTGGGCGCAGTGGGCCTTGATGCTGAGTTGTTGTCTGTGCCGAGACAAAGTGCTGCGTGTATTTGCTCCTTAGTTTCTTATCTCGAGTCTGCGTTATGAAATCATGTGCATCATGGTTGTGCTTTCTAACGCTTGATATTCAGGCAAGTGATTTTTTTTTTGTTTTGTTTTTAGCTCCTCTTTAGGTACGCCTCTGTATAATCAGCTTGACACATACCTGTTCAATACCAACGTTTTTATAATTTAAAAAAAAAAAAGAGAGAGGAAAAAAAACCCCATCATGACAGTAACCTATAATCTGTAGATTTCATTTGCCCGCCGTCTATGTCCCACTGAATCGAATCACGCTGGATGCTGCGCGGCTTTCCTGCCCTTACAATATACAGCATACGCCTTGTGTTTTAGAACAATACTTACCAGTGGCCATATTTATAATTTCATCTTGGTGAAATAACGAAAGCCCGTGGCCAAAATGCAGCGAGCATGACGGACCGCTTCAGGTGTAGGTTTTTCGTAATTTTTTTTGTCGTCACAATCTGACGGTGCAAAGCAATGCCTACTTAGAGCTTCCACAGCGTCAAAGTGATTTCATTTTTCAAAAGTATCAGCTAGGAGGAAAAAAAAAAAAAAAATCCAAGGCATTAAATGTACCGTGAAACACATTGAAAAAAGTCATTATCAAGAACAAGTGACCTTCCCAAGAACTGGACGTCCCTCCAAAATTGATGAAAAGACGAGTAGAAAATTTGGTCAAGGAGGCTGCGAAAAGGCCGACAGCCACATCGAAGCAGTCCTGGCCCGTTAGAATGCGTTGCTACAATAACAATATCGGCAATGTGCAATGAGGACGCGCGACGCCAAAACTTCACTTGTGTCTGTTTTTTATCAGTGCCTGTTACCTCGCCAAAATCTCTGCATGGCGATGTCTTTCTCTTCATGATGTCAGTGTCGTGCGATTGTTGTCCCGTTGCACGTCATGGTGTCGGCTCCGATATCTGTCTTGTGAGGCCAGCTGGCATTTTGAAAAAGACCTCCATATGTGGGTGGGACTTGTCTTTAAAAACAAAACAAAACAAAACAAAACAAAACAAAAACAGGATTCATTTGGAAGTAGTTTTTCTGTGTGTGTGTGTGTGTGTGTGTGTGTGTGTGTGTGTGTGTGTGTGTGTGTGAGCCGATCAGATTTGGGACCAACGGTGAAAACAAGACTAGAAGGATTTTCTGCTGGATTTCATGCATGGGATTCAAATCCTTCTCAGTGTCTTCTTCTGAATGTGTGTGTTTGCCACTCTCATTTGTTATTGTTTTGATTTGGGGAACCACTTAAGAAGAAAGTGTGAAGGGAAACCAAGTGGACTTTTTTTTTTTCCCAAATAATCAGATCAATTGTGACTCTCTGTTGTGCGACGAATCTCTGCAACTGTGATGGTGTTGCAGTTCTTGCTCCTCTCCTCACTTGATTTTTGCTTGGCGACTCTCCGTACGTGTGCGTCACGTTTTCGTCGTCGCTGCTAGTTAGTGCAGCACTAGCGCGGCTCATCCCACCGTCGACAAATGACTTTTGTTGTTTTTACGGACTTGGCCGACAAGGAGGAATCTGATTCTGACGTTGAGTCTTAGCTCAGCACTTGTCAGGTTGTTGTGCGCACGACTTGCAGCTACACCAAATGATCGACTCTACTATTTTGAACTCCTTTTATTGTCCTCGCTAGTATTTGACATGATAAACGTTGTGGGGATTTTGTGTTTTTTTTTTTTTTTTTTGTGACTTTTTTTTTTCCAATTCCTTGTGATGTCGTAATGCAGCGAGTGACTCGGAATGAAACTCGAGGGTCATTTGACGCACGGGATCTATTGTTGTTTCCTTGAACCCAGCGTAGTTACTGAATAATTAAACCGAGTAAATGTTTAACACGTGTTTGCAAGTTCCCGCTGTTGTGTTGCGAGGAGCCACCGTTTACCGGGCCTGCGAGAAACACTCGCTTACCCGGCCCCGGCTTTGTCAACGATATGCCGCCACGGGAGAGCGCTTGGTTGACTGCACACCCCAGCGGCTGTTTCTCCATTAACGCCTTGCTGAGCAGGTGCGACACACACACTCACACACACACACACACACACACACACACCGGCGTGTCGAGGCTTCAGATGTCAGAAGAATCACTTTTTGTTGATCTTGACTTCTGCCTCGCTGTTGATTCTAGCCGGAGCTGCATCTGCATCAACAATGATTCCCTAAAGATACTCCCCCGCATATCTGGACCTGTTTACACTCGGCCTTCCGCTAAAGCCTCGGAGGGTGTCAGCTGATCACTCCACCTGGTTAATATTAAATGACGCTTGCAAGGAGAGGTGTTTGTTCATAAACACAAAAAGCCGCTCCTCCTGTTTACTGAGGCCGTAACAGCAATCACTTTTTCAACACGCCGCTGCTTTTTGAGCGTGAGCCGTCTCCTCATCGCCCCTTTTTTCTCGTCCTGGGTTTCATTTTGGCACATCGAGATGAGATGAGTTTGGGTGAAGTCGGTGTTCTTTTGACGCAGTCGCCTGGAAATATTTGTGCTGGAATGGCTGGCAGGCGTCATCTTTTGCAGCGACGTAAATCCGAGAAGTCCTGCGACAATGATTGCTAATTGTCGGTCATTTCTCAACTCACCACGGATTTCTTCGAGCAGGTTTTTTTCTTTTTGTTTCCCCACTCTGTGAGTTGTCCGCCATGTGTTTGGTGTAGGTCAGGCGACTTTTCCCAAGAATCGGGAGCCAAAATACAGCAAAACATGGATCTTCTTTCAAAATCCTTGAGAAAGATTCTGTTGTCGCACCTTTAGTACAGATTGTTGTGTTGTCTAGACGAGCAACCAAGCTGAACCCAAAGAACTCGAAAGCCACCGACTCCCCTTTGTCCCCTCCTTTGTGTGTCCTTATCTCACTCAAGAATTGTGCTCTTGTTGTGTGCTTGTGTAAACAAGGATTGTGTGAGAACTCGCTGAATTGTAGCAGATGGCCGCTGGGGCTCGACTGTCATGAGCTTTCAGGAAAAACACAAGATGGAGAAGGGTCAAAAGCGCAGCTGTGCAAGCCAAGCCTACCTTGAGTGGACTCCGGTCGTGCTCGAGATGTAGAATTCTGAGGGGCCGCGACCAGGATTACATTTTGACGGGGAAAGAAAGAAAAAAAAAACTTTTTGGGAGAGGAAGAAGCAGCAGCAAGGTGAATGAGAGCCGGACGCTTTCCCTTAACCTTCAGCCTGTCGTCGCAGCCGGGAGACACAGGTGACACATTTGCTATGTTACTCATTCTAAGGGAGGTTGCGGACATCCGCGATATCAAATTTGAGGGGCCGCAGCTCCATATGAGAATTGGACCTATCTGGCAAAAAATAAATAAAAAAATAAAAATCATTTCATTTGAGTTTGGTTTTCAGACTTGAGAAAACATTTTGCATCGTAGTGTACTGGAGCACATAATCGATTTTCAGGAGTTGACTCCCCACAAAAGGTTCTCTCCTTGCATATGCTGGGAAAAAAAATCTTCACCTGTCAACCTAAGTGTGGTTGGTTTAAAGGCATCTTGTCGTTCAGCTCAAAATTTGATATCTTTTGCTGTGCCTCAGGAGGAGGAAAAAGTGTGCAGTGGCCTGTAGGTGGAGTTGTTCCTCGATGTGTCCCCATGCCGCAGTGTTCCTTTTTTTGCTCCCTGCCTTGTTTAGAAAATCCCATTTTGGAGGGAGTCAATGCCAAACCGGAGGGGTTAGCTGGGTCAACATCTGTCTCGAGAGGGAGTTGTCTCAGCCGAGAGAACGGGGCCTGCAGGCCGGGCTCGGGCTGTTCAGACAGGCCTCCAAGTGTTTGTGTGTGTGTGTGTGTGTGTGTGTGTGTGTGTGTGTGTGTGTGTGAGAGAGAGAGAGAGAGAGAGAGAGAGAGACATATCACTGAACCAGCACTGGCCACGGTGTCATGACTCTCTCGGCTCGGTCGGCCTTTGTAGTAGATGGAGCCACAGTGTACTTAATTTATGTTGGGTTGTAAGTTCAGTGCGGCTCTCTGAAGATACTTCCTGAAAATAAAAACAACAAACAAAAAAAGACATGACCTAAATAGAAACGTGCTGTTTATTTTTCTTGAAATGACTCAACTCTAGAGATGACTATCTCACCGATGCTTTTCACATATTCCCTTTGACAAGTTGTCAACCTCAATTTCCCGTCTGTCAGCGTGAGTGTCGAGGTATGTCCGTATCTTGTTTGGACCCGCATCTCGAGAGAGAGAGAGAGAGAGAGAGAGAGAGAGAGAGAGAGAGAGAGAGAGAGAGAGAGAGAGAGAAACAGACCCGCATCTCGAGAGAGAGAGAGAGAGAGAGAGAGAGAGAGAGAGAGAGAGAGAGAGACGCACTCTGTCCAAGCCGCCGAGTCGAGATTAACATACGGGAGGCCCTCCCATGACACGCCTTAAATGTAACCTCATAAATCTGCGTTTAGTTCCATTTTCCCTGGCTTTCATGACGAGGCCTTGTGTTTTAAAGGCAATTATTCGGTTTCAAATAAATAATTCATCAGGCAAGTCAATTTGCTTCTGCCCAACTCGGTCGGCTTCATTAACCTGGAATTGGGAGGCTTGCCGAGTTGCGCCAGTGTGGCTCGCAACCAATGCCCAACAAGAGCTGTCAAGCATTCTACCGATGACAAAATAAATGAATCAATAAGTCAAGGTGTTGATGCAGACCAGTGTCACCAGCAAACGGGTGCATCATCTACCGAATGTGGCTTTTCACAATTTTGTCTCCAGTCACGGCCCCTTTCAGCTGAAACGTTGGCAAACAGCTGCGTGCGTGTTCTCTATTTCCCGATTTTGCACATGCAAGCAAATTTGTTGTTCGGCTTGAGTTGGAACGACAACATTCTTCCCCAACATCTCGTTGGAACGATTGAGATTCCAAACTGCGTCGCGGTGTTAATTGAAGAGCCCTGGAGAATTGCCCTGTTTTCGCTCAACCTTGCAATAGACGTTTCTCATGGAGCTCTTTTGGCACGCCTCGCCGAGTCGCCCTGGTTCCCATTAAAAGGCCGTTGAGCGGCGGTTCTTCTGGGAGCCGTGCGAGTAAATATATCCATTTCCATAGAACGTGTTTTGTTTTGGAGGGCCAGTGTTTTCTTGGGCTCCTCTGCATTAACTCAAGTCGGGCCGGGTTCCTCTCGGGAACACAAACAAAACCCCGGTTTGACTCCATAGTTTCCATACCAGCGCAAGAAGAACAAACAAGATACAGGCGAGCAAAGGCACGGCAAGGAGATCTGCAATAAAAGTGAAATGGGAAAGGAAGGATATGACAGATGTTTATATTTTGTCCTGGAGTTGTAACACAACCTGATTGCTGTGTTTTAACAGCTGTTTGACCTTGTCTCTCTCTCTCTCTCTCTTTCTCCTTCCCTCGCCCTCCCCTCGTCCCTCTTTTCTCTCCGCAAGTTTTGAAGTCATGATGCAAGAATCTGGGACAGCGGCGACAAGTAATGGCGCGTTTCATCAAAATGGAAGCGCCAGCGCAGAGAAGGAGCCCAAGGAAGGAGAAGGCAAGAAGAGCGCGACGCCCTCGGCGGAAGCGACTGCGGCCGACCTCGCGCATCTCCAGCAGCGCCAGGTAGAGCGGCCCGGCCTGGCCCGGCCCCCCTTTCACACCTGCCTTCACTTTATGAAGACGTGTCATCAGCAGGCCCACGCCGCCTCTTTAAGTGCCAATTAATATTTCATTCATCTTCAAAGTACATCTAGTACATAAACACATTACTATTATTATTTATGTATATTGAGGCACTTTTTGAATATTTGAATAAGGGGAAAGTGCTTCTCTCGCTCTGTGTGATTGTGTTTGGTTGCAAATGTGTTTACCGTAGCATGCCGCCTGTGAATTTTTAAAATATTCATGGAGGTGTTCGGACATATTTTAAGTGTGTAGGTGCAAGAGGATTTTGTTGACAGTCGGGGGGGGGATAAGAAAGTGACATTCATCGGAATGACAGCATTTTCTCTGGATCATCGTAAACAAACGTCGCACTCCAGGGAAATGCCACGCTCTGATGTGCTAACCGATGAGGTGCGGAGTGGCGCATCAGGGCGCTTGTCAGCGGAGCCCAAAAACATTTTCTCCCATCTCGGTTTAGAAGCGGCGAGACAGGCTCTTTCTGTTGGTGTCAGCGTTACACGCGTGGCATGCGACACAGTGTTTCGGGAAACGGCGTTGAAAAGATCAGTGTGTCTTCTGCCATCTTGGTCTCGCCGACAGGGCGGCCCAGGCTGTTGTCAGGAGCTGTTTGGTGACGATGCGCAGGCTGCGTGCAGCTGACTCTTGTCACAGCTCATCCGTCAACTTTTGCTCAGAGAGAGCAACAATACTGGAGAAGAACAACCGAGCGATAATTCGGCGTTGCGATTCAATTATCTTTCAGCGCAGTCACTCTGACGGCAAAGTGAAGGCGGTTTTCCCATTCGGCTTCTCCAAGTCACTTGCTCGTGCATTTGTCAGGCACTTAACGCTTATACCTGCTTAGGTTTGAAGTTTCTTTTGTTTTTTTTTCCAGACAATGCTCGCTTGACTCGTACAGGGTTTAGGTTTACTCGGAGAATCTTCTGCTGAAGGCAGAGATTTTGGTATGGCATTCATCTTCTCTCCTTATGAGTTGAAATAGGCTGAAGATTTCTTTTTTTTGTCAAACAATGGTCTTTTTTTTCGGAGGAAAAACTCCCGTCTGACAGTTTGCGCTGTCGCTTCAGCCTTCATCGGAGCCGTCAAGACTTCCCAGTGACGTGTTTTAAAAACAGCTGACCGGGTCGGGAAACCTTGAAAATGTGGCTCCCCGCTCCAATCCCCCGCAGCCATTGAAGCAATGTGTCCCGCTTGTGTAGGAGCACGGAAGCCCCCTCGGCCCTGTTGATGGTGCCTCCTTATTTCAATTGCCTCTTTTATCCATCTTTCTGATGTGATGAACCCCCTCCCCCCCCAAAAAAAGATCTTTAACCTAATTTTACTATAAGTAGACAACATGAACGTCCTAGTGCTCATATTCTTGCTTGTTTGGGATGCATCAGTTCAAGAGGATCCAGTCCTGTATGAGTGGAGTAATCACTGCTAAAGCTCATCACTTCATCACACAATTTATGTCCAGAGCGTGAATGCATCACATGTACAAGGAGATACCAAATGCCGCATGGCACGTTTTGGGAACATAAAAACTTCAATAAACGTAATTGTATCATATTTTTTTTTAGTTTGTGGCAATAGAAGGTTTGTCTGAAAGTGGCTCACTCCTCAGTCTTGGTGTTGGGCCTTCGGGCCACTTGAGAACTGCTCTGTCTCCTTCATCTCGGCCCTTTTTTCCATCGCAGGAGGAGTTTGTCGTCAGTGAGAAATTCATAGCCATACTGAATTCATTACTGCAGTAGTCCCAGAAAACCATGGACAACATTTCAAGAACTGCAGGCCACAGTTGAGTAAACAGCTGAAACCTGATTCCCGTGGCCTTTTTTTTTTTTTTTTTTTGCATCATTCTTTACCAGAGCTTTTTGCTTTGATTCGGTGGGTTGCACGCGAGGTGGTGTAGAAAAGCATGAGGGGCGGGGGTGTAACAATTAGGTGTTCAGAACCACAATTAGGTGTTGACCTCACAAAACCATCCAACATTCGGTTTAAACTCTGTGGAGAAAAGAAACAAATCAATCGAAAATCATTTTCCTCCTCCCATGCAATTGTCATAGACTTCCTTAAGCGGGTAGGCGGAACAAACCTGGCAGTGACATATCATTTATTCCTATTAGGCAACGTAACAATGAAAGACAGTCCTCATTAATAAAGACGGGGGTGAAATAATTGTAATCTGTTTGATCATCTTGGTTCTGACAGGGGAATTCATCTTGCCGACTAGTCAGATCTGGGGGAAGTGGACCATAAGCTTAACTCAAGCATGGCTGTTCATGATATTAGATTCAAATGCAGCCTGATGAGAGTGAAAGTTGGGAGGAAAAAAGATCTCACGGTGATCTTCATAGATAGTGCTCGTCCAATTTGAATAATATCACACTGTTTTTGAGAATGGTCAAATACTTTTCACGACACAGTAAATTACAATCTAAATCAATACAAAGAGGGGACAGGGACGCGAAATAAAGGTTAGAGTAAAAATTTAAGAGGCTCCTGACTCCAGAGACTCTCCACACTGAGCTTTTTCGGCCACCGATACAGATGAAAATGTCAATGTAGGAAAGTCAGATTGTTAAACGCAATGTGTCTCACTCTACAGTCGGCCGCCAATGAAAAGTAGTGGCAGAGTCCCGTACACAGCTCACCGTTGTTTGCCGGAAGATGAACTTTCTTCGTCCTGCTGCATTTGGATGTGGTGCAATGCTTTCACAAGATTTACTCCCCCGAAATCTACATATGTTTGTTTTGCAGAAACTGTGGTTTAGTTACTGTATACGCTCATGAGGAAGTGAAGATAGTGTTGGAGACAATTGTGCAAAAACACTTGTTTTTGTGATTCAACACATTTGCAACTGCCAATCGTGTGAATCCTTCTGCCTTTTAAATCAGGGGACGAGTCGTGGGACGACAATACTGTTGCAAAGTCGTCTGACTTGGCACAGCTTTGTCCGACCAAAAAACAAAGCTCACATTGTCAATTCGAGGGAGGATGTCTTTTCTTTATGGTCCGATTTTGTACCATGTCAAATACTGCAGACAAACAAATGGAAAGCTCCGCCAGTCACTTGCTTCCCTTCTCTTCGCTACTGAATGGCTGAGGTGGTCGTACTATTGCGTGCGGAGAGAAGCCAGTATGACACGCAGAACAGACTGCAGAAAGAGCTGAGCGGGCAGCGATTTCCGTTTTGCATAATGCAAGTCATACATGAATCCCTGCGGAGACTTGAGAAGGTGAAGATGCACATTTCAGCCCTTCCGTCACCCACCGCTATCCTGTCGAGCTTTAGAGGACCTTGGGACAAACTTTGTCGTATGATTCCACTCTGACACTTCGGCCTTCCGTTTAGATTTGTTGGTACGGTTTCTTCCACTTCTTCTGCATAGCGCTGCCATCCGAAGGAATCTTCTTCCCGCCGTCCGTCTTTGCTATGCGCTTATCTCATACCTCTCTGTGATCTTACTGCACCCAAAAGCTGACTTCAGTGGTCTTCCTGAGAGCCATTTTGTTGTTCTTCATGAAGGCCTCTCTTCATATTATCCGACTGACACGGACGCCATCGCTCTGAAATAATTTGTGCCCTGTCTGTGTGTGAATCCAGAGGGATTCTCAGGTATCTCCACCTGTTCTCTTCATCTTGTCACAATATCACGCGAGGCCCGCCGCAGCTTCTGCAATGCGGCTTATTGGAAAATCAGTGAAAGAGGATAACATCAGTGTTATGACACTGCATATTGCCTTAAATTGCTTTATTGGTAAAATGATAGTGCTCGTCCAATTTGAATAATTTCATGGAATCCCTCACAGAACAGATTAATTATGTTATCACACAACTGGCAACATCTGTCTTTATACCCAAGCACATGACAGTTTTATTACAGGCTAAATTTCTTTGCCGGTTCTGGCAATTGATGTGGGATCTGATTATTAATCACAGAAAAAAAAAAGGGATCGGAATGATTTGAAACATATTATTACAGTGGAACCTCCAAATTTGAGCAGCCTAAAGGGGCGTATGAAAAGTTGCACAAAAACCTGGAGGTTGAGGCAGGATGTGTTATCTGCTTTTGTTTTTCTAAATTGTTTCCACTGGAACCACAGATGAGAGGAGCAGACAAAGCGAGACTGTGTATGGAGGTGTGAAACGTACCAGATGCCACAATAAGAAAGTCAAGGCACTGATTAGGTTTTCATTTGTGGAGGCGGTACTTCTTTTTAGGGAGGTCATTCTTTAAGGACTTGCACTTGAGAGACTTAAGAAAGTGCAGTTGCTCTTGAGAAAACAGAGGCGCAGGGCCCATTCATTTTTAATGAGAGCACTACTTTGAAAACTTCATAGAATTAATATGTATCAGTGAAGTCTTTCCTATGCGTAAAACTTGAGGGTAATTAATATTCATAGGCTGTGCTTGTTAACACCCCAATGCCAATGCAATGGAGATCCAATTAACATAGAATGGACCCAAAGGAATTGCCCAGATACTGTAAGCCATTGAAATTGATAGCGGGGCTGTCTTCTTTTAAAACACTTATTTGTTTCATTAGGCAGCCTCATCCTTGTCTGATCAAGCCACCGGTCGGGGGCTTGGCGAAAACTCCCAAGGTTTCAGTGCGTGCGCGGAAGTTGAGGTGGCGCTACCGTGGCAGGGTGTCGACGTATGCGCAGAGGGAATCGCCTTCGCTGCCGGACTAATGTGAAATTCCTGTCCTCGCTTGAGTTTTTATATCTTATTCATCATCCCTTGGCACAGTGTTGGTAATAGAGGTTTGTTTGAGGGTTTTTTTTTTTTTTGCTTCTTGATGTCACACCACAAGTCTTGCGAGTGGCCGAGTAAGAGCTGGACGTCCAAGGGGAGCCAAGTGAAGAGAGGCGAACGCCACGCTGCCAATTGTTTGCACACAGCTTGCAGGTTTTGCGCCTCAGCACACACGGAGGGGCCCCACTCAG